ATATATGTACATATGTATACAGAGGCGCATGAGGCGCAGTGGTTGGGGGTGCCCTGCAACACACGTGTGGAATCGATCCCTGCACACATGGCCCACCAGGCCTTTCATCCCTCCGGGTTCGGCAAATTGGTACCAGACTTGTCTGGAACGATAGCATCACTGGCCCGATACATCAGTAGGCCACCGAGAGTCATTGTAAAGCCCAGATATGCATTCAACCACCTCAAAACGAAACTTAATAAAATCGAATGCACGGGGTCTCGCTCAAGGATTGATCAACGCAGAGGACTTTATCCTTTTATGTATATAGACGCTTCTTATTTTTAGAGTTCAGTTTTAAATTGTTCAAATTTATTCAAAGCGCTTCAAAAGTTTTCGTGGCGATGTTCCCCTCGAGAAGGTGGGGGTCCTCGTTTCACTATCACGCAAGCTATCTTACTGATGACAAATTGTCAGGATAAAATTGGACCAACTTTCTGAAAAATCTACCACTGCTTCATAGCAACAAGCTGCCTAGTTTTTCACTGATTCCTTTCCAACGTGAATTATGCAAAATCTGTTTCAACTCAGCAGCATCTCGTCGCTACACAAGAAGGAAGGCCTGGACGGCATAGTCCAATTCGTTCCCTCTTTGTTGTCTACAAGGAATTCACTCGAGTGATCCTCAATAGGACTGACAAAACAGTGAACAAAAGATAGCCATACGAGCAAAATAGGTTTTGAAAGGCGTCCACTGCGACGGATCATATCCGAAACAAATTTCTTTACATAACGCGACAGCAAATGAGACCTTATTTTCACACTTTATTTGACAAAAAAACTTGGACTCAACAGAAAGGGTTCCGAAAAGTGAAAATATAGCAGCACAATGTGACAATAGCTCTTCAAATTATTTACAGCCATTCACAAAAACGTCATCGCAACACTGGCATGGACTAAAATGATAACGGAAAACGATAAGTGGAGGCCGCGTCATCCTAGTCCTGTCGGTGATATACTTCTCATAACAAAAGGCACTGGTCGGGCGATTCAAATGCTGGTCGACTTCAAGAGTGCTCCTCTAGAACTCCAGAAAATGACGAGGCTCACCGAAAGTAACACCTCCAAATTCGCCAGCTATGTAGGCATGGGTGAAGAAGTGGACGGGATCAACAAAAAAACGCAATAGGTATGCAAAAAGTACGATCATTTCCAAAGAAAAGCATGTAAACGCTTTAGTTTGTTCTGGTTCAGGCTCAGAAGTTGGGCACCAACAGAAAGACATTTGAGAAGAGTTAGTTAAATACTTTCGACGAAACATTTCCGGAAGTTTGTTCGAGGTGATAATGAACACATCTTCCTCAAACTAAATGTTACAGATTTCGAGGAGGACGTGGCATTGACTTTAAAAAACGGCACTTTGGATGGTGTCTAATATTTTGCCCACAGAAATGACGCAAATACGATCATCGTCGGTGACAGTATCAAATCACCAGCACACATCAGATTTCCACCGTTAGTGAGGAGGTGAAATCCATTCATGAATCCTCTGCAGTAAAAGAGATTTAGACAAGAAACATTTCTTATTTAAATTAGTAATATTAGCTCACTTTATTAGTGAAAACGAAATGGAGTTTATCATTGATATGACGAAGCAGTTGAATACGATGCTTTGTGGCAACCAAATATCACCAAACAGTAAGAGAAGCAGGTAGAAGCACTGCGAAATCCATTGATGGAATGACAAACATTTTTCGTT